TCAAGTGTTTAGTCTGAGGCCGGATTTGAACTCAGGTCCTCCTGACTTCAGGGCCAGTGCTTTATCCACTGTGCCACCTAGCTGCTCCTGCAAAATCCTCTTTAAAGGAAGGAAAGGAAAGCTTTCTAGAAACCAGTGATTAAGTCAATGATCTCTGAATCCATAACAGTTATGCATATGAACCACTCTATATATTGCTGTGTGACAGGTCTGGTTTTGTACTCGAACTTCATACATATGATGTGTTTTTCAACTAGATTGCATACTTTTTGAGGGGAGAGGTATATTCGTATTTTATCCTTTGTTATCTCCCAGTGTGCCTAGCCCAATACTATCCTTACATTGTCATTTAATATATCTTGTCGATTAACCTGACAATTGCTTTATTTATTTATTTATTTGCTTATCTATCTATCTATCTATCTATCTATCTATCTATCTATCTATCTATCTATCTATTTTTTGCTTTTTGGTGAGGCAGTCGGGGTTAAGTGACTTTCCTACGGTCATACAGCTAGTAAGTGTCAAGTGTCTGAGGCTGGATTTGAACTCAGTTTCTCCTGACTCCAAAGCTGCAGCTCTGTCCACTGCTCCACCTAGCTGCCTCAGTTGATTTGTTTCAAATGAATATGTGGTACTGTAGAAGGCATTTGACAAGTGGTAGAATTTTAATGATATGATTTAGTTATTTGTAAAGGTATTCCTTCAGTACTTAGGAAATCTGTACCATGTAAATGATTTCAAGAGCTCATTAGCCTGGGTACTTTTTTCTTCTGGTATAGAGTCATATCTTCTTATTACATGTTATTCTTTTTTATGTCTTTTAATAGGTTGTCACATAGACGATCTAGCCAACAGATTTGAGGCTTCATCTAGTTCCTTTCATGTTTTGTGAATACTAGTATAGTACCTTGTCCCTTATTTTTAATATATGATCAGCTCATTTCCTTTTGTGATCAAATGTGTCCTTGATATGATTTCTTTGTATTGGTTATTTGTATCTTTGTGTTGTTTTACTAAATTAAAAAAAAATTTCTACCTTTTGTGTGTTTTCTTGGCTTTACATAAGTCTATACAGTTCTCTAATATGTTTCTCAGTATTCTTCGTATTTGTTATTCTGCTTTGCAGAGTGTTACTCAGTTACGTCTGTATATCATTATCTGTTTAGCCATTCTCTAATCATTAGGCACATGCTTTGTTCCTGGCTATTGGTTATTACATAAATATTTTGGTACATATGGGGCCTTGCACATAGTAGGCACTTAATAAATGTTTGTAGAATTGTATTTTTAAAAATTTCTTTATTAAGCTTTTGGAGGCATAAACCTAATAGTGAGATCATTGAGTAGCTCATATAACATAATTCTTAATTGTTTTTCAAAAGTCAGACCAGTTCACAGTGTGACTAATGGCAAAATTGTGTGTCTTTTCTCACATCCCCTCTAATTTTTTTTCTTGTTTGAGGCAGTGAGGGTTAAGTGACTTGCTCAGGGTCACACAGCTAGCTAGTTAGTGTCTGAGGCTGGATTTGAACTCGGGTCCTCCTGACTCCAAGGTTGGTGCTCTATCATTTGCGCCACCTACCTGCCCCAACCCTCTGATTTTTTTTAAAAGCCATTTCTGCTGACTTTATGAGTTTGAGGTGATAATTCAGAGCTGGTTTAATTTTTATTTCTTTTATTAGTGATTCATAACATTTTCCCATTGGTTTGCATTAAAAAAAAAATCACCTCCTTTGCTTATCTGCTGGGAAATGGTTCTTCCATCATATAGTTCTGTTAATTCACTATAGGTTTTTATATTTGTATTACATATTTGATACAAAGATTTTTCTCCATCTATATATTTTATTCTAGCTGTTGAATTTTATATAACTGAAATGGTCTCTTTCATCTTTTATAAACTACCATCCTGATCACAGCTGTAAAATATTGTTTTCTCTCTGATGTTTTGTTGTCATTTTTTATGGTGTGACTTTATTATAAATCATTCGTCAGTTTGGATTTCATTGTGGTTATCAGTTTGTTAAACATTTGTTAAGTACCTACTAAGTACCAGAAGCTGTGCTAAGTTCTGGAGATATGAAAAGAGGCAAGAGAAAGCTCCTGTTCTCAAGGAACTTCCAATCTAATGGGCAAGCCAGTGTTCAGAAAGTAATATGCAAAGCTGCCTAGAAGATAGGGAATAGCAGAGGGGGAAGTATTGGAAGTGGGAGGAGGTGGAGCTTTTTGGAGAAGGTAGGATTTTATTTGGTACTTAAAGGAAGCCAAGGAGGTCAGTAGTCTGAGGGGAGGCAGGAGAGCATTCCTGTCATGTGGGACAGTGAAGATGGAAGGCCTGGAGCCGAGAGATGAGGAGCCTTGTTTGTAGTACGTGGTTTAAGTTGATTTTTCTTTTTCTTTTTGTTTTTCTATTTTGCTTTTTGGTGAGGCAGTTGGGATTAAGTGACTTGCCTGGGATCACACAGCAAGTAAGTGTTAAGTGTCTGAGGCTGGATTTGAACTCAGATCCTCTTAACTCCAAGGCTAGAGCTCTATCTACTGCACCACCTAGCTACTACTTTTAAAAAATTGTTGATTAAAAATTTTCCCACTTAATAGTATTTTAATTTTTCTAATTATATGTAAAGATGGTTTTCAGCATTCACTTTTATAAGATTTTGAGTTCCAATTTTTTTTCCCTGCCTCCCCAAGATAGCAATCCATCTGATATACATGTACAATCATATTAACCATATTTCCACATAAGTCATGTTGTGGAAGAAGAATTGGAACAAATGAAAAAATCACTAGAAAGAAAAAAAAAGAAAATAGTATGCTTTCATCTGCATTCAGACTCTGTAGTTCTTTCTCTGGATGCGGATAGCATTTTCCATCTTGAGTTAAATTGATGTTATAAACCTACTTTCCACCAAACTGCTTTCCGTTGTTCCCAGAAATTCTTGTGAATCTTGTTCTTTCTTCTTGTATTTACCGAACTTTTGAGTTCTTACTTTTGAGTTCTATTTTCCAATCTATTATTTTTTGTTGCTCACATCTGTTTGATGAGTGAGTTTTGTCCACTTTTATTTGAGATGATGATTGTTTTTTCTCTTCATCAGATACTTTTTCCCTTTTTTTAAGTCGTTACTAGATCCCTGTGGTTTGTTTTGCTTTTACCAATCTGATACTAACATTCTTTCACCTCCTTTTGCCTAGTCCTGGTGTAGATTCTCTCAATCTAATATTGTTTTCTTTAGATTTTATTCTCGTATTTTTAATCTCTCATTTTTGTATCTAAATCTTTAGACATTTTTCAGTTTGCTCACTGCTGCAAAGAGATTAAGCATCATTAATTCTAAATTATCTTGTCTCCTGGTTGCATTTTAAAATTATTCTTTGAGACTACTCTAAATTTCTGTATTGATTTCTGTCCTTATTTCCTCCTTGAATTACCTTTTTGCTCTTTTAAGACTCTTAAGAGGTATATTTATGGTTCCATTAGGGAGTTTGTGCTCATTGTTAGTGTCTTCTGGTGTTACTGCATTGCTTTATTTTACTTTGGTAAATTTTGGTCTTGGATTCTGATTTTTCACTAATTGACTTTTCTTTTGCCCTTACTTATAAATTATGATAAACGTGATATGATAAACATGGCTTGAAGACAGCTAGTTGTAGAGTGGATAGAACACTGGTGCTAAAGTCAGGAAAACCTGGGTATGAATTTGGCTTCAGACACTCGGCTGTGTGAACCTGGGCAAATCACTTAACTTCTCTCTGTAACAGTTTCCTCATCTGTAAAATGATGATAATAATAGCACTTCCCTTGCATGGTGGTTGTGAGGATCAAATGAGATAGTATTTGTAAAAATTGGTTAGCATAATGCCTGGCACATAGTAGGCATTATATAAATGTTTATTCTTTTCCAACCTCCCTCTCTTTAAAGTTGTATTCAGTTGATGGAACATGTAGGACTAGGAACCAGTATGCTTAGGGCGGTTAATCGAATCACCACAGGGCTCATGGCCTCAGTAGCATTCCAGTGGTTTGCTTACTTTTTGGGTTGTGTCCTAATGCAGTTTGGTTTGTCAGCATATCTAATAGCAGTTAGAGAATTGTGTGTCTTAAGATTATGTGGACTACTGGTAGTTAAAAATTCTCAGTGGAAAGTATACGATGGTAGGAGTATTGTGCATCAGTTTCCTGTGGTTGCAATCTTGCCAACTTTGATGGATTGTCATAGCAAATTTTCTTAAAAATAATGGTATTCCTACTGTTGGTGAAACTATGAAATAATCTAAACCTTCTTGAAAACAGTTTGCAATTGTGGAAGAAAAGTCACTAAAAGTCATACCTTTTGACCCAGAAATGCCAACGATGGGCCTGTGTAAAGCTATCTATCTAAAAACACCTACGTATGTACATACTTCTGTACAATTTATACAGTGCTACAAAGGAGTCAAAGACAAAGAAGAGGCCAACATGTACCAAAATATTCGCAGTATTCCTTGTGGTAGCAAATAACTAGAAACAAAGTAGTTCCTTTTCAGTTGGAGAATAGCAGAATAAATTGTCTTATTTTATAATGGAATATTATTTGAGCTATAAGAAACAGTTAGTATGAGGAATTCAGAGAACCATGGGACGATTCATATGAACTGATATAAAGTCAAGCTGAATTTGGAAAACAGTATAAAAAGTGACCACAATAATAAAAGCTAAAAGACCACTCAAGCAAAGCCAAATAGTGTGTAGTCGTCGTGGCCAGTCTTGTCCCTGAAGAATTGGAGAATTGTGTCTCTTTGCTTCTGTTGGGGATGTTGATGGATGTGTACCTGCAGAGGTGTAATGGTAAATATATTATCTCATACAGTCATTTTGCTTAACCATTTTTCTTTGTTTTAAGGGATGACTCATTGGGGGTGTGAAGGAAGTATATTAGGAAATGACTGATACAAGAACAAAAGGCATCAACAGCACAACCCCCCCCCCCATACTGATGATTTCTTCTCTCTTACAGATAAGAAGTCTACAGAGAAATTGAAAGGACATTAAATAAGAATATCTACTTATCAGGTATGATCTACTATTACTAGTAGGAAAAAAAACCAGTGAAACTTAGTTTCTCTCTGACTGTGGAATTAATTGACATGTGGGCAGACAATTCAAGAGGAAATGTGACAGAAGGCCCATTTGTTGGGAGGGCAAGGAAGGAAGAGGAGAACTCTCTCCTCCTGTTCTAGACGTATGAGTGTTGTCTAACTATGTGGTAACCTGGGCCCACACGTCCAATGCAGTCTTTCCCTTGGCTGCTCAAACACTGCCTCCAGTAGTTTAGCAAGTGTCTAATTGTGGAAAAGCTGTGTTACTCTAAGTATGTGCCAGAGGAAAAGGAAGGTCTAGTGGTAGCCCTCACTTAGCCAGGACCTTCCCACAAGTGAGCTAGTTACACTTCAGTATGTGAAGAGGCTGAAACTCAATGGATTTAGTGTTTGTAACTTCTTAAACCTTGAAATACACATGTTAGCAAAGCCATTATTGAACAAAATTAGGAAATTATTATGTCTAGACCTGCATGAAAAGGTAATTACATAGCCTTGCAGAGAAGGGACCAGGATCCAGGACCAAAATGACATCGTGTTTTCATCCTCTAGGAAAAATCAGTTAACATGAATTTTATCTTGTTTCCTTTCTCTTCAGTTTATGTTTCTTCATCCTTTATCTCACTTGTGTCCCAACACAGAGAAATGTGAGCATTAGGTTGTGTTCCTTTTTTACTGTCTTATAGTATCGTTTATTTTAAACCTGTTACTTTTTTGAACTAAAATAGAGGAAAAATAATTTCGTATTGATTTAGCTCATGTTGTTGGGTTCTTTCAGTCGTGTTTGACTCTTTGTGACCTCATTTGGGGTTTTCTTGGCGAAGATACTAGAATGATTTGCTATTTCCTTCTCCAGCTCATTTTATAGCTCAGAAACCTGAGGTAAACAGGGTTAAATCAGGGTTAAGTGACTTGCCCAAGATCACACAGCCAGTAAGTGTCTGAGGCTGGATTGGAACTCATAAAAATGAGTCTTCCTGATCACAAGCCCAGTGCTCTATTCATTTTGCCACCTAGCTGTCCAGTTTTTATTTATTTAGTGCTTAAAAGTTACTTAGCACTTTATTTATTTGATATTTATATATTTGATCTTAGTAACCACTTTAAGAGATGAGTACAAATACTATGGTAAGAACATTCTTTGTTTCTGTTTACTTAAATGTATTTGGGTCTGGATTTGTAATTTCATTGGTGTGGGTCACTCCTGGTATGGAAACTCCCTCTACCAGCACAGATTGGCAGTTCACCATTAGCTGCCATTTTTAGAGAGTTGCCTGAAACACCGACAGGTTATGACTTGCCTTTGATCATAAACTGGTGTATATCAGAAGTAAGAATTAAACTCAGGTCTTCCCGACTCCAAGGATGGCACGTTACTATCCACTGCACTATGATGCCTCTCCTAAGTGTGTGCACACACATGTGTATACATGTACACAACACTCTTCAATGTACATGTATGTATGTATGGTGTATATGTATACACATATGCACACATCTGTAAAATAAAAGAATATGCTAGTAGATTTTGCGTAGTGAGAGAAATCTTTAACCATCTCGTTAGAGAAATATTTGAAACTTTTTATAAAGTAAATAAAGAGTGTGGCCTCAGAGCCAGGATACAGACTTTGTGACCCTGGTCAAGTCACTTAGGCTTCCTTTTGATCTAAGCAAGTCTCTGGGTCTCTTGAGTTACAGAGAAAATACTGATCTGCTAATTAATAGAGGAAATTTCCTTCTCTGGGATTTTATGTCAATGAAATCATAGCTCTATTTCTTATACTGTCCTAATGTATCAAAAAATATTTCATACACTAGGAGAACTTGGGTTTGTTTTTTAACTGGAAGTTAAAAATAGGAAAGGAGAAGAAAAATCCCTAAAATGTCCCTAATTAAGACGTTCAGGGTGTGATAGTCTCACTTGTCTCTTTAAATTAGTCTCTGGTTGTCATCCAAGATACGAATATGATGTTTGTTCCTGGACCTTCTCCCTCCCAGTTTTGAACAACTTATTTTTGCAACAAGGTGAAGAGACTGCCGGTTGATTGACCCAAATCCAACTAGTTCAAATCTGGCAGTTGTTCCCTCATCCCACAAGGCATAGACTGTTGACTCACGTGGCATATAGCCAAACTGCACAAGAAAGACCATATTAGGAAGTTTTCATTTTGAAAAAAGCAAGGGAGAAAAAATGGAAAACTTATAAGTAGTGGTTAGTATGCTAGGCCTCATACAGATTACATGAGACTTAAATCCTGTCTTTGTAAGCCTACACAATTCTATGTTGTATTTACTTAATTATGGGGTGGCAAGACAGTAGATATTGGGTCTGTTTTTAACAATTATAAATAATAGCTTTGTTTCTATATCTTTTTTCTATTTTTCTTTTTTATTTTAACAGTATTTTAATTTTTTCCAATTACATATAAAGATAGTTTTTTCAACATGCATTTTTTAATGTAATTTTCAGTTTCAAATCTCCTCCCCCCTGCCTCGGCCCTTGCCAAGAGGGCAGGCAATCTGATACAGGTTATACATGCATATCTTCACTTTTGAATATATTCCCTGCAATTCTCCTCTCCCCCATGCACCCCATATAATCCTTTGTAACAAAAGATAAAAAACAGAGGGGAGAAAACATTTTAGCAAAAGTAATCAACACATTAATTGACTCTGATGTCATACACCATATTACCTTCCTAAGGTCCTGGACTTCTACAAAGAAAGGAGGCAAAGGCATTTTCTCTTTTCTTTGGGTCCAAGCTTGATCACTAAAATGATGTGATATTCAGTTTTCTTTCTTTCTTTTTTTTTCTTTCCCCAGTTACTTCTTTGTAGTCACTGTGTGTATTGTTTTACTGGTTCTGCTTCAACTCTGCCCTTATTCATATATGTCTCCCCATAGTTCTCTATATTCTCCATATTTAGCCTTTCTTGTGGTGTAATTATATTCCACTCCATTCATTTACCATTTATACATTTTGCCATTTCTTAAAGATGGGTATTTATGTTGTTTTCTGTTCTTGCTACCACAAGAAGTGCTGATATAACTATTTTGGTGTATTATGGGGCCTTTATTTTTGTTTTGGACTTTGTTGGGGTATACACCTATCAGTGAATTTCTGGGTCAGAGGATGTAGGTATTGTATTTACTTTTTAATTCCAAATTACTTTTCTGAATGGATAAGACTAATCCATAGCTTCACTAGCGGCTAGACATTAGTGTTTCTTTCTCTGTGCAAGTCCCTTTAACATTAACTATTTCTTTTGTTGTCTTTGTCAGTTTGTCTGCTGGAGTTGTTAATTTTAATGAAAATTACAGTAGATTGTCATGGCAGGCTTACATTTTAACAGGGCCAAATGTGAGTCCTTATTAATTGATAGCCAAAAAGAGAGGACTGTTCGTCAGATTTCAAGTTCAAAACCAAACGATTTCCATAATGTCAGGGGAGAACACCATAATTCTATTTTGGAATTCCTTTGGCATAACATACTATAAATTTGGTCAGCTGACATGCAAACAGTATGACCTCTGATTTGGACCTTGGATTGGTTGAAACTAGCACCTTAGAAGAAATTAGACACAGTAGATACTTTTATTTTACTTTGTGTCTGTTTTCATTTTAAGAATGAAATATTCCCCAAGAGTAGCTTCAGTCTCCTGGATTGAACATTCAGAAAGAATGGTAAGAGATGATTGCATATCCCTTGAAGAGCCAGGATTGAACTTTTATGTTGTTAAGTCATTTCAGTCATGTCCAACTGTTTGTGACTCCATGTAGGGTTTTCTTGGCAAAGATACTGGAATGGTTTGCCATTTCCTTCTTCAGTTCATTCTACAGATGAGGAAACTAAGGCAAACAGGATTAAGTGACTTGCCCGCAGGGTCACACTAATAAGTGTCCGAGGCCAGATTTGTTAATTAATTAATTTTGATTTATCAACACTTATTTCCATAAGCTTTTGAGTTTTAAATTTTTCTCCCCCTTCTTCCCCACCTCCTTTCCCAAGATGGCACAGAATCTGATATGGACTATGTTGTAAGGAAGAATTAGAACCAATAGAAGGAACCATAAGAAAGAGGAAACAAAAAACAAAACAGAAGGAAAAAAAGAGCAAATAGTGTGCTTTGATATGCATTCAAACTCCATGGTTCTTTCTTTGGTTGTGAATAGCATTTTCCATCATGAGACTTTTGGAGATGTCTTAGATCCTTGCATTGATGAGAAAAAGGCTAAGTCTATCTAAGTTAGTCATTGTACAACTTGATTGTTACTGTGTATGTTCTCCTGGTTCTGCTGAGGCCAGATTTGAACTCTGAAAGATGAGTCTTCCTGACTTGAGGCCCAGCACTTTATCCACTAGCTGTCCCTGAATCTCCATGCGGTATCTCCCCTATAAAATGAGTAAAAGAAAAATATCTTTTGCAGATGGTCAAATTTCCCATCTTTTTCCTTTGGCTAATATGCAAAGATGCTTGCCTCATTTATTTCAAGCTGGTATTTTTGGAATTTTGGGGAAATGATCATTCCTTTTCTTTGATTCTGCTCTATGATTTTTCCTTACTTTAATTGCCCCATTTTTCTAGTTCCAACTCAGTTACTATGTAATCTGTACTACTTCATGACAGTTTGTGTTTTTGTTTTGTTTTGTGGGCACAGTATCATTTTCATAGAATCTCTGTTCTGTCACTTCTGGGTGCATGTCTAATGAAGTGTGAAGAATGAGCATTCAAACTGCATAGCTGTGTAACCTATAAGTATTAGAAGGCTGGTAAATTCATTATTTTTCCTTCTAGTCAAGTGGTTTTTAAAAGCGTATTTGAAATTTTAAGCTTAGAGAAACTTCAATCTCTCAGGAGGGCTCTTTAGTTTGATGCTCACATCCAGTATCTTCTCTACTGCCCCAGTATCTCTGGGTTACATTGGGCATGTAGATAAAATGAATTTCTTATCCCCTGAGTCTTGAAATTTA